GACGTCCGTCGAGAGCGTTCGGCGTGCTCGCGCGATCGTTGTCGATACGTACCTTCCCCTTACACGGGCTCTTTAGGTGTAAGAGTCTCGGCTGTCGAAGCGCGTTAGCAACATCATACACGGCATCACCAAAAACCTTTAAGCATGCACGCATTGTCAATGTCCTGTTTTTTGAGTCAATGCATGCCTCTTAGTGCTCCTTTAGTCAAGAACAAAAACGTAAAGACGAACGTTGCTCGATACCGTAAGCTGCCATGCTCCGTCGTTTGAATGTGCGTCGCGTCTGTTTGGTTCGCGGACGCCCCTTCACGCGGTACATACATTTGCTACTGTTCTTCTGGTGTTTTCTGAAGGGCTCGGAACACTTTACTATTGAAATTTTAAATGGGCGAGTCTGACGAATCGATTAAATGTATTATTGATTGATGCCTGTGGATAGAATCGTGTAACTATTGGAAAACGTGGTGGCAGTTTATGGGTAATAATTATTTCGAAATGCGAGTATTGAATAGACGCTCTTTGATATTCGTTGAATTCGATTGATGGGAAGTGTAATGACTGCATACTTTCGTGGGATTGTCTTCCGTAATGAAATTTTTGCAGACGTATTGCTTTCTTGATCGGCGATTTCATGACGCAGATGATCAAATGGGAGAATTCTTGTTTGTGCTACTAATGCAGTCGTGGCTTAAATAGAATGTAGTAATATAACGATGAATGTAAAATAAAGATCGTTAGTCAGAAGTTTCTCAATGTTTGAGCGACGTTCGCGAACGTCTTTACGCGTTTGTCGTGAGATCTTTTCCTTTTTCCACGAGTTCGACATTTCCACGCAACTCCGACGACCAAGAATCATAAGTTGTTGTTGGCTCTAGATTCGAAAAGTTGGACATCACGCCAAAGAGCGCGCAAAAAATAAAACCGGTCCTCGAGAAGTGGATGCAAAAGGCTCAAGAGATGTGAGTAATAATTTCCTTTCATTACTATTAATTGCACTTTGGTTTTATTCAATCTCGTTCGAGAATATCGTCAGTGTTCGATGATGCGATCCGAATCAAATGAAACTACAACGAAACACCTCATTCAAGAAAACTCCGACTACCATCAGATAACTTAACAATTCCTTATTTACCTTCAATAAACCTTATCGATTAAATTACAAGACTTGCAATAGAACAATACATCACACACCTATAAAACATCTCTTTACAAAGACAACACAAAACCAAAAGAACAAAATTCTATCATGCCGCTCAAGTTTCACTAAAATCAAATTTCAAAATTCACTACGCATCCAATTACAACTAGGATACAAGTACTCTCGCAACACGCAACACCAACTTGCACGATGCTTCCGAACAACGATCCCTTCCCGATTTTTCCATAAAATCATCTCGCGCCCACTCGACACGCTAGTCTGCGCGACAAAGACAAGTCCGAAACCACCGACGGAAATCTTCAAATTTAGTCCGAGATCGTTTTCTAACGGCTCGTATCGTGCCTCAAGATTATATCCCGCAATCGTCGAACAGGATCTCAAGCGGTGTCCGAGACCGTGTGAACGCGTGCGTGCTAATTGGTAATTCGCTAATTGAATCCACCTGATTAATTGCAGATCCGCGTCTAATAAATACGCGGAATGTTAATTAGAATGGGGGAAACCGTTACCGGAATGGCGGCGGTCGTGCTCGCGCCGCTTACAGCCGCCGCCGTTGCCGCAGCCGCCGCCGCCGCAGCCGCCGGTTTCGTTTCGTGTCGCGAAAGAAGTCGCCTATCGGCTTCCACCTTCGGGGTATCGGTTTCTGCGTCCGTTCACCGACACACGCACACCGGCGCCATTCAATTTTCTCCGAACAGCCGGGTCTGTATCGGGATCTGTAATTAGCGAAACTCAAACTTTGATTCATCCTCGGCCTCGGTTCGACTGATACCGGTTGCCTCATAACGAACGATACGCACTCGCTCGCTAGCTCGCTCGCTCGCTCTCTCGCGCAAAAACGCTCCGATTTATTGGGCTGCTCCCAGGGATTCACAGGGATTTTTTTCACCGACGGTTGTTGCTGATAAACGCACGTGTGCGTGCCGATGGCAGCGGAAAAATGGAGTTTGAAGGATGAAAGGTTGTTTTTCCCCCCAGCATTTTCCGGGGGACTACGGTAGTACCTCGATAGATGTTTAGTTGATTGAGAGATTTCATTTCAGAGATTATTTCTTTTCATGGTTTTAGTGACTGTTTTGGTCGGGGGAATGCGGGGAAGTTGTTTTAGAGGTTTCGAGGGAGTACGGTAGTACCTCAATATATGTCGCACTTTTTTATTCTATATATATATATATATATATATATATATACACTGCACCAGTTACTTGTTCAGTGACTAATTGTTCGACAAGATCGATCAAGTTCGTTCGTAAGAGATCTCGTTTGTCCTGCTAAAACAGGAGCTTTAAAAAATGCAGTACGACTTCTGTATTTGCCTCGGATTTTATTGAACCAACGTCAGAAATTATGCCGTTTATTTTCGCGCTCGGTTTCCTCAGTTTGTCGGTGGAAATACGTACAAGTGAAATTAGTAATCAGCGGTGTTCTTTTAGAAGGAAAAACTGGTTCCCAAATCGCTGAAAGGTTTCCTTGAAAAAAAGTTCACTGAGATATTCTCAGGGAAATATGTAAATCCTCTTACACCGTTCGCATCCTTGGGAAAAAACGGGTACGTTCATTTCAGAAAATTGCTTAATCATATTTACAAGAATATTAAGAACACCGGTATTTCCTAATTTTTTCAAGTCCTCGCGGCACGACACACACGCTCGCGCGCGCGCGCACACACTGTCCGCGGAACGATTTTCTCCGGCGCGAGACACAGGAATCCCCGTTTATCGCCGCGATTGCCAATTAGTTATGTATTCAGATTTATATTTGTACGGCTAAACGATCCCCGTTTAATTGGTAGCGCGATCTAAGAGCGTGGATCGTGTAAATTTTACGAGCCACCGATGCCTAACACGGTTTATGGTTTCGATTTCACCGGCAGCGACGCGACGCCGCGCCGTTTTATTGCCGGCAAAAGCGTGGAAAATATGTAACCATGTATGGAAAAAACATGTATAAATAAATATCTATATACACCGGCACACCTGTGGACACGCGTGTACAGTATCAGCACACAAGTGTACGCGCGCACACATGCAAGGGCTGCACGTATATAGGGTAGCGTATCGGCGCACGCGGCACGTATCTCGACCGTGAACCGGATGATTCGATGACAGGAGCACGCGGTCATTTCTCTTTCCGCGGCCGAGCCGGCAACAATGACCCATTCCGCATTCCCGCCGCGTACCATCAACAGATTTTCCGAAAACGAACAAAATGATTTGTTGACTGTACATTAACACCTTCGGCGCGGCGCGGTATCATCGAGCGGCAATATTATTGCCGGTTACGTTCCTGTTTCAATGATTTCGTTACTGATAACGCGTCGGCCTCCATAACCGGTGAAAGTTTTCTCTCTCTCTTTCTTCTTTGTCCGGCGCGTCGAAAACAATATCGTAGGAATATTTGACAAATGTCGGGCCGCCGCCGCCCGTCCGCCCGTTTCGTTGAGAATTTATTAACGCGTCGGTGTTACTGGTTTGGAAAACTCTGCGCGCGATGATTGTAACGTGGAATGATTGTTTCCTGGAGTTTTGTCGATGTTTTTGGATTTTTCTTGTTTCACTTGCTTCGCTTCTTGCGAACGGAAATTAATATTGGGATGGTTTCTTCGGTAAATGGGTTTCGGTTGTTCTGATTTTTTATTGTTGGATGGAATGCGTTTAGGTAGGACGAGTTGCATGTTTATTTTGAATATTGAGAGTGGTTTTGAATTATAGATTTTTTTCTAAATTTTGGCAATGGTGACCGATGTTTATTATGTAGTTGATATTTGTTATTTACTAGATATACGTTAGACCACGATTGTATTATGAGAGGAGTGACCATCACTTTTGATACGACTTGTACAGATTATAACACGGAAGCGATTGTTGCTGGGTTAAGTAGCCATTATCATTTTCTTCTTTTTCACGGTTACTATTATACCACAGGTGTCTATACAAATTCGTAATTTTAATTACTGATTTACGGAATAGAATGTTAACTGCAATTCAATTTGATTTTCCAGAGTTTCGATTCCGCTTCTATTATACGGTAAACTTAATTAAAACCTTTATTTCGCGGCGATTTGTAGGTCAGATATTGCTATATGTTCATAAACATATCTACGGGGCAATTATTATTGTCGAGACCTCCGAGTGAAAGCCGCGATTTCACGGAAAAATCTCGACAATCTTAGTTGTAATAGTAATTAGAAAGATTGAAAAGACACGCTCGCGTTGATAGCGAATAATTTTACGGCTCGGAGTCATGAAAATCTTAACCCCTTAACACGCAACATTCTTCCCCGCGGATAAAATTAACGACCTCCGAATGCATCCAGGAAAAAAGAATTCCTTCCGTTATCAAGTTAACATTTTCACCATTCCATTTCTCTCAGCGTGAACTATTTCATGAATAAAACAAGCACCCAGTCAACTACTTAACACTCTACCTACTGAAACCCGATGAACAAGCTTCCGCTGATGAATCATTGTGCTCCACAAAAATGTGCACCCACTCAAACAAATAACATCAAAAGAAACCATCAGACCGTGTTGTTTAAAACTCTTTATTCCCATCCTTTACCGACTCTAATTGCCATAGCCGTCGACAAAACTAGCTATTAACATCTTGCAACTCCCAAAACAGACCCACAACACAATAAAAAATTCTCAAACTCCCATATCCTCGTCAATCCCAGAAACCTCGAAACCCAAACCATCAAACAACCAAACCCCACCGATTAACCC